CTGTGAGGAATTGAAACTAAAACATGGCGGCCAATTGAGGGCACCTTTGGCTGCGCCGCACAGCGAGGCTTCGCGTTGCTATGCGGGCTGATGCTAGTGGCTAAGTGGTAGGGATTGGAAGATACCTTACATCAGTATTTTAAAACTTTCTTCGAAGAGGAAATATAGTTAAATAGTCTAGATCTATCACATATTTATTGCCAACAATATGTCATAATTGGCAATGTTACAATGTTTTTGTGTTGTTAGTTTGGGTTTTTGTAATGATGGGATGGGATCTAGATCTAGACTAAAGATCTTCACACTCACAATACACTTGATAGTAACACTAATTATGAACATTAATTCTGTTGGCAAAATATCTAGATATAGTCTTGATTCGTACTACGATAAAGTATCATAAAGGGGACGCTGACAGTAACATGCTCACTACAATTACATTGTCATTAAACTTAAGGCCATCCACAGCAAGCAAAAAAGAACAATACAACTTATAAGCCGTTTCTCCAATTTACTAGAAAGAGATCAATAACTTGAGCTCATATTGAGGAAATGTATTATTTCTCTCTTTAAGAATTCATCTCTGTGTTTACATCAGTGAAATATAGTGTGTACAATAACATGCTTTGTAGCACGTGCAAGTCTAACAAATACCAGAGATTGGAGAATGTGTCGGTTGCACATAAAATACATAGGCCTATTATACATGCTGCAAAAAACACAAGAATGCAGAAAAGGCCTCAAATAATATTGTTTTTAACACATAAAAGCCAACAAAGCAAAACAAAGTAAACAAGAGTGGAACTGGCATATGTTTCCTGAATATATGTTCAAAGTCATTGTTTTGTGTGTTGAGAGTGTGATTTCTAATGCATGAATGATAGGCTCATTCAGATGTGATAATGAAGGATTTCAGAGCTGTGTGTATTTTGAGAAAAAATGTATCCCCATACCTTGGATCACATGTCGAGGGAATGGGCTTGTCCCCCTGTAATCTCCGCACACAGTAGTAAACAAACACACATTTTTGAACACGTATAAGAAAAAATAAATGGTCTCTTAATTGTTACGGATCAAATTGAATTCCTGTTACAATTCGATTAATTGATAAAAGCGCGTAACACAATGCATTGGCCTACCCTGCCCTATAGGCCTATAATGCTATTTAATAAATACATTCGTCAGATCTGGAATCTTTAATGCCCGCACACAGTAAACAAACACACATTTTGAACATGTATAAGAAAGAAGAAGTGGTCTCTTGTTACGGATCAAATCGAAGTCCTGTTACAATTCAATTAATTGATAAAAGCGCGCATCGGCTAACCCAGGGCTATAACGCTATTTTATAAATACATTCGTCAGATCTGGAATCTTTAATCTTTAATTTTTAATCCCCGCACACAGTAAACAAACACGTGAACACGTATAAAAAAATAAGTGGTCTCTTGTTACGGATCAAATTGAAGTCCTGTTACAATTCAATAATTGATAATAGCGCGCATTGCAATGCTTTGGCTAACCCAGCATTATATGCTATTTAATAAATACATTCGTCAGATCTGGAATCTTAAATTGTAATCATAATTATATATATATATATGTGCTTGCGCGTGGGAAGTGAAAGTGAAAGGAATTGAAAATGCTTTCAAAAACAATTATGAAAGTAACATAATTAAAGTAGGACAACATGTGCTTATAAAGGCCCAAAAAGGTGTATGGATGCGGAAATTAATGTTTCGGAGGAAAATAATACGCTATCTCTACTACTGTAGCTACGGTAAAAAATTTGTTGCGCAACTTATCAAATATCTAGGCTACTGAACTATCGAACATCTAGATGTAGATTCTCTTACTTTTGCAAAATGACTTAGATCTATCAATTCGTCTTAACAGATGAGTATTTTTTCAAACATTTGTACACATGGGTGCTATATATTATTCTAGAAATTTTTAAAAAGAAAATTCTTTAATAAAAACTAGCCCAATATTTTAAAAAAAATCCCAGTCAATGGTTTCTACAGATTTTTAAAAGTTTACAGCTGGAGCTAAATCTCTTTTAAAAGCAAGTCCGTCCTTTTTTTTCCTTCTGCTGGCGACATATAAAGCTAATTATTGGACGCATGTTTTGAGAACATTAATAAGATCTATTGAAGAAATATGTCAGGGTAAAAAAAACCCACCAAATTTCTTGTAACAAATTTTGCTACTAAAAAATGACGTAGGCCATATGCGTATGCAAAATGTGTGTGGGAAGGTAGAATTAGTGCTGTGAACAATCCCATCCATGTTACGAATTTTTTCAGTTCTGTAGATCTTATATAAACTCTGCTATGTCTGCCTTTTCTGTTGTTGCACCCAAAAACACAACAATTTAAAACCTTAATTCCAATCTCCAGGTTGCACAGTGAATTCTGAAACTCAAAATTACAAACTCCGCTGGTCTGCTACCGTCAATCTCAATAAATTCAAATAGATTTCTAGGTCTGTGCATGCTCTGTTTGATTTTTGAAGATAAAGTTTCTAGATAGACCTGCTTCTACGGAGGAATTGGAGAAAAGTGTAAAAAATAAGTGGCTTTGGCAATGGTTTGATGAAATTTTCAACGATGTCAAAGTGTCTGTGAGTGTGGTGTAGGAAAGTCGAACAACCCGGTGCATGCTTTTGCCTTAGTCAGGCAATCTCCAAGACCCTAAAAAAAAAACTACGACCACCCACATAACTACCTTAAGGCAACTAAATGGTTCAACGAGCGACATACGGACGGCAAGGTAGGAAGAGTTTTCATATTTTTATAAATTTCAGGGTTGGGAAAATTTTGGATCTGTGTTTTCAGAGCTGGAAAAATGTTTCACTGGCACCCATGACACCGATAGACAGTAGGCCTATTCCGAAATTAGAAAAAACAGGTCTTGTTTCACACCGGGTGAGAATAGCCAACGCTGGCAAGTCTCACCTGGGGTGAGAGGTCGATCATATTTTTATTCTCACCCGAGGTGAGGATATAGCCACTTCCGTAGATGGCACGAAACTGGTTGAGGCAGATTCTAGATGTATTATTTACGATTCAATGATTGAATAGGTTCGATGAAACTGGCTTAAGAATAGATGGGAACAAGTGAACAAGAAGTTTTTTCCAGTGTAGAATCTAGATCTAGCTGTTAATGTAAACTTGCCACTCATCCCGATTTAAATCGGGATATCTAGATTTTTTGTCCTAATTATCAAGCATCCTGCTTTTCCCAATTTTAGTCATGAACATCCCGATTTTTTTGTTCCGTCTGTTACGCCAGATTTTTCTAAAAATTTAGACCTACTCTGCAATATATTTTTTTTCTCTGCAATGGGAAGCACCCGTTTTTGCCGTTATAAAAACTTTTTTTCAGCAGGAACTCGGAGCACTATTTTTCTAAATAATAATATTGATGCCGGATTTAGTAGTTCATTCGCCCCAAGTTGTGTGGGAACTTTGCTCGCATATCATGTGTTATTTCAACTATAATGGAAAGAGTATCGCTTTGGCATTCAGACTTGGGACATTCTCAAGATCTAGATCTAGATCAGCTTTTGGTTTCTCTCAGAATTCTCCCTTGATAGCCTGATAGGCTAACTATTTAATTTGCCACCGAGTGCCATTTTTAAACAAACACATGGGTCGCCACCACTCGGAGAACAAGTGACGCTTCTGTCGCAAGTTCATGGTGACGTTCATTGTTACTTTGTTACAGACTGGGTAAACAGTGACCACTCATCTCACGTACCATTTTTGTATGAGTTCTGGGTGTTGCTTATGGGTTATGAGGGATCACATGCTTACCTCACCAGCAGCTGAAAATTGGTACCTATTGGTCAACAGTGGGAGGGGCCTACGCAACATGATCGGTTGGAGGGACTACCTAACAACAATGACAGGTCATTGGGTTATGACGGCTCGTCCACAACACCAGGGGCCAGTGCACAATTTATGACAAAACGTAATGGAGTCAATAAGGTGGCCGTCTAAGACAGGTGTTATTGCTTAGTGTGATAGGGGTTGTGTGTTAAAATATGGTGGCCGCGTTGGACAGGTGCCTGTTTTACAGTTAAATTATATAGAAAAAACGCAAGGAGGAAAATGGAAAGTGGCCGTTTGTACAGGTGACCGTCTTATAGAGGTGGCCGTCAGGGCAGGTTCGACTGTATGTATGTATATATATATATGGACACCCCAGGGACGTTTTTAGTCAGCTTGGCAGTCACCTTTGTGAATTGTAGTTGATCCCGATTGTTTTCACCAAATCTCAATTCCTCCCCCCTCCTTCTGATATCCTGGTCATTCGATTTCATAGAGTGGCAGGAAGTAAATAAATTAATGCCATGAGATGCACTGCTTAATTTTTTTTCGAGAGATGAAGAAAGAAAAACTAAACCACAGTATATTTTATTGCAGAACACACATGGCTGCTAAACCCATTGCAAATTGACTGTCCTGAAATGTTCAAGAAATCCAAGTACAATACTTACAAAACATAAAGTTATAGGAAAAAAAAAACAACCCAAAGGGGCATACACATTATGAAACAATTTAATTATCCCCACACACACAAGCATCAAATACACAATTTATTAACAGAGGATATTGTTGAACAAATGTATCTAGAATATATATAGCTTTCCTCAACTTTCAACTCTTTCCACTCGCCCAGCGCCGAGCACAAAACCTTCCCCTTGGAGTGGGCTGTTGGTGGGTGCTCTGGTGTGGTTTGCTTCTTCTTTCCTATCAAACATCTATCGTCCTTTTCTCCCCTTCTTCTTTTTTATGTTTGTTATTCTCTTTTAACACCTAATCTTCTGGCGCTCATATGACCTTATGCAGTTGCGAGCGCCGTAAAACTTCTACTAAAACTAGACTTCCCCACAGTATGCTTTCATAATGTGTATTTTCTGTCTTTTTATTTGTCAGTACTTTGAGCGATATTGTTGTAATCATGTATGTGGGACTATAATTCTTTTTATAACAGGTATTGCATACATCAAGTTCTCTAAAACATCGGAAGCCATGCAAGCTATGGAAGAGATGAATGGAAAAGCTTTGCCAGGCTCAACGAAAGGACTAAAAGTATGTTATGATGATTTGTGGAAAAGGGGTTCATTTAAACTTTGAACTATTCTCATTTTATCTTGGGGTTGAATATATATTGTCGGTCGAACAGTTTTCCTTGTTTGTAAAAGTGGTTGAGTATCTTGGTCAGTCATAATTCAGTGACTACTCAGGGCATGAGAGGAAGCTGATGAATGTTGAAATAATTTTGTGCCCACTCCTACAGCATTATAATGATTACAACAGTGATGACACTTCTTACAAGGCCGCCCCCCATTTTTTTTTTTTTCAAAGAAGGCTCGGAAATTTGTACTCAGAATTCAACTAACTTGTCGTCATTGCTTTCATGGCAGCTTATTCATAAACTGATATTATACTTTCGGTGTTCCACTCAAAGAAATTAACAATGTGCACTGTCTCTTTGTTTCCTCTTCTTTCTTTTTTCCCCCCTCTGCGTTAGATTTTTTGTCGTTTTTAGAATTGCGCCAAATTATAATATATATTAATATCTGATCAGCAGCATGTGCAGTCTATAGATTAGAATAATATCGAATGGTTATGTTTTAAAAAAATTGTTTTATGTTATAACTTAGAAGCCACACATCAAAAAGCTTTTAAGCACTTTTACACCAATTATCAGAGAATGTAATGAGTTTCCATTGTTATCAGCAGTAAAGTGATTAAAGTTAAGGCAAAGACAAAGGCTTTCTGATGAGCAGGAATTTGTGCTATACAAATAGCTATTATTATTTCTAGTGATGCATACCTTGCCTTATTGCCTTTCAGGTAGTTGTGGCGAACAGCAAACGGGATGGTTCTACCAGGGATCCAAGAGAAGATGAGAGGCTCGTCCGTCTGTTTGTCATAATTCCCAAGTCATTTAACGAACAAAACCTACAAGATGAGTTCTCGGTAAGTTGAATGAGCAATTCGAAGTTGGTCATGGTGTACATCATACACACTATGTTGTCTCAAAGGTGCTACTTGTCGTGAGCACTAAAACATTTGTTTACTCCCAGATTTTAATATTTGCTTTGGTTAAGACACTTTTTTTTCACATGATGGCAATGATAGCATACCTTGGGTTGGATAACTGACCTGCCAAGTATAATTTTTCTTTCCCTGGAACCTGTTGTTGTTTTTAGTTGCCTCTAGACCATGTACAATTGACCATAGTAAAGGCATGGAAGTACACATTGTTATGACATGCCGTACAAGATTGATTTTCTGTACCTGGGTTTGTTCACATATATAAGATCTACAGAAATTTGTTCATTCTTTTAATCAGAGCAGCAGTCCAACTGAGTCTGCTGGAGTCTGGTGACTCAAATTTTTTTGGTCTCTTATCTCGGGGGGGGGGGGGGTTCTGAGAAAGTCTACAATGGGTTGGCTTATCTGAGAAAGGTTGTGATCCAGGTTCTGGGTTTTTGCAATGGTAATAAGATTATAGTTCCCTTTGTTGTGTGGTCAATAGAGTTGCTGTATTTTTATTTTTTTTAATCGTTCAATCTTTCATCCTCAGAAATTTGGTGATGTGGAAAATGTGACTGTATTAAAAGACCGCAGTTCTGGGGAAAACAAGGGGTTTGGATATGTTCGTTTCTTCAGGCCCATCCATGCTGCTCTTGCTTATGAGAACTGTGACAGCTGTAAGTATTGTTCAGTTGTGGCTCGTGGGAAAGATATTGTAGTCATTTTTGTTTATGATGAAGTGTCTTTTTGTTGTGAACAAAGTGACTTGCTTTTTACTCGTTTTCTGTTACACTCCAAGCTGCCTACCTCTTGCACTAAAAAATTGTGACCATCGACGCTAACATTTATATTTGTCCTTTTTTTTTTGGTTCTTTTTTTTTTGTTGCTATACCGCTTTTAGTTGTCAAGGGGTGATTGCAGAACAGCGCTGATTCTTTTAACGTGAAACTTATTGTGTAGAGTGTAAAGATTAGTTGTAAAAAGGGTATAGAAACACTTCCTTAAGCCATGGAATTGGCACGGTTTTCAGATTATTTTAAAAAAAATATGTTGGAAAGTTACTTGTTAACCTTATCCGTACGCCCTGGGGTCATTTTGTACCCCCGGGGTTGTTTTCTTCACATTTTAGAGAATACTTCTAGTGCGAAGATCTCTTTGAAACTTTCAGTAGTTCTAAAAAAATCATTTTAACAGACTGCTATGCAAAGCGTACGGATCGGATTAACGAGTTAATTTCCTCTTTGGAAAGCGGTGGCACAGAGTTCCCCATATCGTATGGATACGATAGTGAGACACGGTGTACGGATAGGGTTAAGAAGGCTTAATTAAGCTTATGTTTTAGTCCCAGGATGTACAGGAATATAGGTATACTATACATTAAACTGAAAAGAAGCAAATATAGGAATCATGAATGAATGTTCTGCATTTATTCTGTAAAACAAATTTATACACAGATCACTGCAAAAATATTAAAATCGGATTCCTTTCTAGGTCTTCACCACTGCTGAATAGTTTTAGATCTATATTGCTGTCATCATCAGTCTCTACTCAAATTCATGAACAATCACTGCTGTCTTTGCTGTGCTTCTCACGTGCTAGGCGACTGTTGTGATCCAGACACGATTGTCATACGTACAGCTGTTGTCAACCACCCAAAATTGTTTAAATATTCTCACTTCAACGGACAAAAAGCTTTCTCAAAGACCTTACACATTCAATCAACACTTGTATTTTATCAACTAACACCAAACCAAATGTAAAAACTTCAATTAAACCAAGCAAAACATGATAGGAATAAATGATGGAAGAAACAATTAGAAACACCAGTGAATGCTGACAGCCTTCTGGGTTTCCCGACTAGCACTGTGAGCTGTGTTCCTTATTTAATGAGTTAAAAGTGCTAGTGTCACTTACCAGAGAGGGTGAGATTAACAACCCCCCCCCCCCCCCCCCACCCCAAAAAAAGGGGGAAAAGTGCTGGTCCCTTTTTGTGTTGTTAGGAATAACATACTCTTACTATTTTTAATTGCAATGTGCTATTTGTATGTGTATTTTTATTCATTGCAGCTTATAGACCCAAGTTTGCAGAACCACAGCGATCGAGGGATGAAAGAGACGAAATTGAAAATCACGGTTATACAGGAGCCGGTATGTAAGCTCTGTGTCTAGAAACTTTGTATAGCAATGCCAATGAAAATCAAATTTTTTCGCTTTAGCCCTTTTTTATTTGGTACCTAAGAAAGAATTTTCAATTCTAAGAATTATGCTTCTTGAATTTTAAGAATCGGTTAATAAATAAAAAAAGTTATGAGGCTGTAAAGGTCAGTAAAATGTGGGTGACCCACATATAGGAAAATACTCCTAAAAGTAGACCACGCATTAGCAGATTCTGTAAGAAAATCGACGATGTCTCAGTAATAAATTTGAGAGTTAGAAAGAAACTTGGCTGTCTGATGTAGTTTTCGGTGGAGAAATCATATCTGCAGTCTGATTTACTAACCATTTTGTATTTATTTTGTTATAATTAAAATTTTGGTTTACATATTACGGTTGTGCGAAAAAAGGGTTTCAGGATGAGAGCATTTTATTAATAGCATGGGATCTTTTAGAATATGTTGGCAGCGTGACTTAATAACAGCAAAGCTTTCTCTGATGACTTTAGACCATGCCAACCTTAAAATAAAAGTTAATTCAGTCGAGCATGCCGTACAATTAAAAAATTTTTCCAGATGAGACGCGAACACTTAGCTCGCCTCGGAATACCCCCGTTGCGATGTTACATGGGAACAGAGAGAAAAACTACCAGATGCGCCCACCAGGCATTGCCCTATTTAAAGTGACCAATGAACGGGCTCAGAATAGTCATGCTAGGATTTGTAGGTCACATACATTTGCCGAGGGAGTGGGGGGAAATTTGGATAGGGGGATAGTCGTGCATTTGTGATTGGGTCTAAACAACTACTTGACACTGAACATTCAAATTTGAGGACACTATAGAGAAAAGATAGATCTTTTACCTTCTCGAAGTTGAAATTCAAGCTCCTTATAGTTTTCGGTATACATGATACGAAAGTGTTCTCGACACCAAATGTATAGGTTAATATATGTGTACGAACTTCGTCCACATATCATTAGTTTGTCCTGTTTTCTTGGTTGCCAAGTTTCATTCGCATTGGTCCAGAAATAGAGCAGACTGAGGTTGAGAAAGTAAGTCACTTACGTTCTGACGCGGTCCAAAAATTTACCCGCAAACGGGGACCAAATTTTTGCCGCGCGCGGAAGCCCGATTGGCATTGCTACTTTGTATTAATACTTTTGTACAGCACCATGCTGTTGGTTCCAATACAAAATGTGGTAGTGAATGGTGTAATCTTTCTCATACGTAATGTTTCATATCTTTTTAACATAAGTGTTGAGCTTTCCTGCTTCTGAGTGGCATGTTGAAGTGTTTAATTTAATTGAGAAAGGATCTGTTATTTGAGACATTTTCCATAATTGTCTATGATTATTGTTATTCTCTAAGCTGTATCTAACACAGAATTTTAACAGCCATTATAGTGGTGAATTGGTGAATGACAGTGTCACTGTGAACAACACTGAAATATTGGGACTGATATGCACTTGATCTGAAAAGATGTATACCTGCAGTTGTAGAATGGGGAGAGCTCATGAAATAAAAAATCGGAAATAGATATTATATTCCGCCCCCACCCCACCCCCCAATATTGTTAAGATACACTTCTTATTTGTAAAATATTTTTTGTATTATTTTTCAAACCCTGTTAACTTTTATATGTTCCAGGCCAAAAGAGAATGTATGAAGAAGACTTTGGTGGTTTTCATGGAAATTATAACATGGACTCCACTGGGTTTCAAGGTAAGTGACTCAACCGTGAGAAAAGCGTAGGCTGCTTGAGGTGTTACTGGCACTGATTTGAACCACTCATTGATCTAATATAATTTATATGCTTAAATTATTGGAGGCTTATCATATTTGCCTTTATTGTGTGTGTTTGTATTTTCCTATACATACTTTCAGTAGGGCTGTGATATATCTTCAGAGAATTTCACCAGTGTTGTTTTCCTGAACTGTCAATGTTTCAGAAAGTTTTTAAAATTTGATTGATACGATTGGAAATTTGGTTTATCTGTCATTGGTGACTTTTTAAAAGTTAATGGGTGTTTTGAATTTGATGTTACTACATTTTTGACAAAGCTGTATTGCAACAAAGATTATTTTATTCTTAAGTAAAATGCCACTTATTTTGCCTTGATAATGATATTAGACTGCATTCTTATTATATTGTTTGTAACATATGTCCTAGTTCTGCAGCCAAATCTATTTTTGCCTCCTCACAGGATTTAGACCTGGTTCCAATTCTGGGGGGCCAGGCCCCAGAGAGATGCTGGCTGATTATTCCACCACCTCCAGCACTTCTCGGCTAGTCATCCAGGCCCCCATTGGTCTCACTCAAGGATATCTAGTAAAACTGTTCAGTCTTATTCCGGGCATGGAATACTGCGACCTGAATGAAACGACAGGTAAGAAATGTGAGGTATCGTGGTGAAATCAGGCGCTCGTCAAAATTAATGAAAGTGAAGAAACTGGCATTTTCCCATAGGTTTTGGAATTTTTATCGAATTTTTGTTTTTTGGCTCAACACCGTACATGCTCTTTTAAGAACTTATTTCTGTGTGGGTTTTACTGAACAATGTCGATTAAAGGCATAACGGATGTAAATTTTCAGTTTCCACGGACTCTCAAGCTAAGGAAATTTTGGCAGCCATTTTGTCGCTAAATTTTCCTCTTAAACCAGGCCACACCCCCATCTCCTTTTTTCGCCAATATCTTGACTTGGAGAAAAGATAAATGGATTTTTTTTTCATCAAAAGCAAGGCAAATGGACAGGCTTTAACTCTTTACAATCACACAGCCAGCAGTACAAAAATACCCCATCTGGTCACCCAGCCAGGAGAGCGACTGCAACAGACTTCTCAGGCCAGGTGACCGGAACGGATAATTTTCACTGGCACGTTATTGCGCCAAGGGACTGCAAAGTGTTAAATTGATACCAATAACTCCATATGCCCCAAATTGACGAGTGCCTGATTCCACCGCGCCGTGACACAAACTATATTCTGTATTCAAAGAAAGATATATAGTTGTTTTTATCTGGAACCAGTAGCTTGTCTCTCGTCATTTTGTCTGCGGATAGTATAATAATTCACTTTCAGTGTTTAAAATATGCTGACCTCTTATCTTAGTTAAAGTAAGAGATTGAAGAAAACTCAAAAATTTTTATCGGATTTACTGATTTTTTAATCATTTGAAATTCCCAGAAAGAATATTAACACTTCGCCATCACAAGGCTCATATAGTAAAAATCCTTGTCATCAAAGGCAAAGGCATTTTGGGGAAAATCCAAAGAAACTGGGAGGTAAACATCGCCGATCAGCGAGATGTGATGGCAAAGTGTTAAAGAGATTAATATATATCAACAGTATCCTTTTAAAAAATTAGTTTTGTGCTTTATATTGTTGTGCTCATTTTCATGTTCCCAACATTTTTTTCTTTTCGTATGGTGTGTAGGTATTGCCTATGCCCGTTACAGCAGCCCCCAATGTGCTGCCTATGCAAGAGACAAGCTGCACGGATTTGAGTATCCTCTTGGCAGTGCACTGCATGTACAGCTGGCGGAGGACAGTGCCAGACAAGAGTATCCCATGAACGTAGATAGTGGATACGCTTCGGGATATGGAAAGTAAGTGAAGTCCAATTTTATTTCTCAATATTTTAGTCTGCTTCATGGTTTGTGCACTGGGATGTTATCTGTAAGTGCAGGATTTTTTTCTGTGCATATGTATGTTCTTTGTTAGTTCATAGAGTGGAATACTTGTGTTTATATTTCTAAAGGAAAACTGAATATTTTAAATGGTTTCTGGTAGTGAAATGTCCTTGTTTAGCTCTTGCTTGTTTAAGAGAAAGGGGAATAGTGGTCTGGGCGATATTGCTGTAATTTCAAGCCAATATTTATCTTCAGTGCCTGTGAAAGGCAGAACCCCATTAATGTCCCGTGATCAGTTGTTGTAAGTCAAACTGGGGTGGAGGATCTCAACACTATAGTTAGCTTCTTCACTTCCATTATTTAACCATAATTGACAAAAAAAGAAAAATTGATTCTGAATATTTCTCCCAAACAACTGTGAGCACACATCACTTGCAGTTTTCTCATTTTTTAAATGGAAGGGTGGCTATCACTGGAGATAAAAATATACTTTAGAATGCACCATCTCTTTATTCCAGTTCCCAGTTTGGAAACTATGGTCAGTCTTCATTTGGACTGGACAGTATGGATGTTCGCCAGAAGGTAAGTGCAATGACTATATATTATCCTGAGAAGTAAGCTAATGAGTTGCAAAAAAAATTATGAATTTTCAATCTATTGAATTTTGTTAAACTATATATAGAAGAAAGGGAAGTCTGCTGGTTTTAAAGCTTTTATATATGTTATATTATCCCTATTTTTATGAAACATTTCAGAATCATACGTTTCTGTAACGCATTTTACGAATACAGTAAAACTTGTATTAAAAACTTTCAATGGGACTGCCTTGTCATGATGCACACATACAAAGAAAAGTCATTCTTGAAAAATAATAGAAAATTGGCACAGAAAAAAAAATATTGTTGAAGTAGTTTCTAAGTCTCGCAACCATGACAATTATACAAAATTATGAATAACAGTGTAGGCCTATTTTATTTATTTTGGATGTCTATTTCTTTATTATGCTTTGAAGATGGAAGCTCCTCTCTGACACACTTGTGTGCCCAGTATTCTTTCTCCTGCTTTTTTATGTCATGTACTAACTGATTTGAAATCCATGCGACTACATTTACTATACATCCTCTCTGAGGGGAAAATGTAACCCATTACCCAGCATGTCAATACACAGAGCTGTAGGTTCAGCTGCACAGACTCTGCCCATCATATGGGACCTCTGAACCATTTAATGGATTATTCTGCTCCAATTTTGTAATTACATGAAGATTTCTAGGTCGTCAACACATTAGATTGTTCAAAAGTGTCTCAGCCATAACAGTAATTACTCACAATGGTTGTGATTTTCTTTTCTTCTTTTCAGGCTGCTATGATATTAGAGAAAGCAGGAATCAACCCCCAGAACTTGCTGAACTTGTCCTCTGCCAGTTCCTCTGGTTTGGGTTCTGTTGGAGATGGTAGAAAAGAAAGGGTGCTCTACTGTAATGTCTCCCTTCCACCACCGCAGCCCACTGTCCAAGATGATGGAAAAAATCTGGCTCAAAGATTGTTCATTGTTTGTCAGCCCTCTGGAGTGTCCGAGCGTGTTCTGAAGGATGCCTTCTGCAGATTTGGAAACCTGATCGACGTCTACTTGTTGTCAGGTTGGTATACTTTTTTATTTTTTGGGGTACGGTGTGTCTTTAGGTGTTGAACTGTTCTGGGTTGTCACTTAAAAGGTGTTCTTGTCTTGTATTGTCGGGAGAAGAAGTGCTGCATACTTGCAGTGTCTATACAAAGAATACATATTTATCCAGTACACTTGAAATTTAACTCTACTCAGGATGATTTTTTTGTTTTCAGCAGTGTAACAATGTTGGATAATGTGTAAGAGTACAGCTTTTTAATAATGTTCTTTATGATAAAGCATTGTGTATAGGAAAAACAGTTTTATATATATATATATATATCTTTTATAGTGTGCAGGGATGCCACTTTTCTGCTTTTTCCCCGGTATTTTGATCCTGATCCGCTGTTCCGTTTTTGAGATCGAGATAATATCTATAGTTCTCTATGTACACCCTTTGGGTTTCAAATTGGTATTCATATGTTAGCGAGACCGTGGCGAGTGGATTTTCAGCTATTTTCAAAAATGTTTAGTGGCGTCCCTGAGTGTGCTACGACATAAGGTACACAGTCAAACTTATGTAGTTTATAAATTCATGATGACTTTTTATCTGCTCTGTAGTCCCAGAATGAATTTGGTATTGTCCTGAACTCAAATCTGCCATAATAAGCTAATGACACTCCTTTTGTTATTTACAGCAGTTTTGAGGAAAATATTTTTTGTCAGCGTAATCATTTAAAAATAGAATTCTTCTGAAATTTGAATTCTAATTATTAAAAAACTAGTCACAGTTTCACTTTGATTTTTTCTTACAATTAGGGTAACTGGTCTTGCTTTAGATTTAGTTAGTTAAAACATTTGACGCGAAAATGATAAAAGGCATTTTGTCAGCTTATGTCTGAAATACTGTTTCCATTTGTTCAAATTCAAAGCCAAGGAGTACCATTATGTATTATTCTCTTTGAAGTTAAAATTGTATTTCTTCCTGCTGATATTGGGAGTTTAATCCAGACAGCTTTATATGGCTTTTTGTTGTACACAGGGCAGTGTACTCCTTAAGTTGTTTTGCGCTAGTCTGTGATCTAATTAGTACAAATAGAAAAATTAGCTTTAATCTGTGAGCAAAGTAGTCCAAATGAAAATAATAAATGTTCTTTTTCACAATTTTATAGGTCGCAACTATGGCTATGCAAAGTATGCTTCAAAGGAGAGTGCAATGAAAGCTATCGACACCTTACACGGCCAGTCTTTGGGAGGACAGAAGATCAAAGTGCTGGAGGCTGAGCCACCAAAAGCTCACCAAGGGCATCAGGGACTTCAGGGGGACGAGGGCCCTTCAAAGAAACAAAGGCTGTGAACTGTTGAGGTGAGCCGTTAGATTTAGCTAAATATGTTCAGATATGCTAGTAATTATTAAGAACTGTCAAGACGGAGATAACAGTGACTTGTCGAAGACAGCTAAACTGACAAAGGCAGTGTGGTCAATTGGAGGAGGTTACAAATCAAGGAGAACACTTGGTGTACCCTTTGTCCAAACAGATATCAAGTGTTCATATGGTGACCTTGTTTTCCCAGACAAATGTTTGTCATGGAAGATGGCATCAATTAAAACAAGTTCATTTGAGACTTCATCAGATCCTGATATTTCCCCTTATATCTTATCCTGAAGGAGAGTGGATGGTGTTCTATCACATCTTGGACAGGATAGTGGTCTCTCTTGGGGTTATGGAAATACTATTTACTGTACAATACTGCTATCTTATTTTGTCTTCTCAGCTATCGTGCATTTAATGAGATGTTTGATGTTCCGGCGAACTATGAGACTCAACTTATCGTAATTGTTCATTTAAAGGGCAGTTTATTTTTTGTCATGAAAGGTATGCACAGCTAATATAACAAATAATCTGGTTCCTAATAAAATTTGTGATGGCATCAGTACTGTTACCAAACAAAAATTTTAGGGGGATTGGCAGCTCATTTTTATTGGAAATTTTTTTAACCTCGACATCTTGTCTAATTTCTTCATGCTTTTGCTCATTTGCTTAATGTGTCCCATGCGCTCATAGGACCTTATGCAGTTGTGAGCGCCATAAAACACTTGCCCAAAAACGAAAAATGTGTAATATCACAGATGTTCTAGCAATTCTGTCCTCACAGAAAGTTGCAAGAAAAGTTAGCAAAAGTTACAAGAAAAGTTGCAAGATGTATATAGCTTTAAAAAAAATGTCATGGAATTATTGGAATAGGTTGTTGGTATTATCTTTTGCAATCAAAGTAACCCACATTAGTTTTGTCAGTGAGTACAAACTGTTTGTTCTCTGACACATGCGTCGGGTTGTTATACTCTCGCTGATGTTGGGCAGATGTGACCAATGTGGTTTGGGGCTGTGCAAATAATCTTGCATCTTTTTGGGGACTTTTTGCACCCCCCCCCAAAAAAAAAAAAGAAATCCTGTAATATTACATTATTTGCTCATAATAATAATATGACATTTATATTTCGTAAATGCATGTTACAATCATTGTCCTATGCGCTTTACTTTTACATATTCATGAAAAACATGCATACACACATGTGACATAATAATTAAATACGGTACAAGTGGAGCTTTTCCAGAAAAAACTTATGGTGTCATTTTACCACTTTAACGGCACAGGTGAAATCAAAATTGAGACTTCATGTCATGTAGCCTAGATGTCTTAATCTACCAGTGTAGAAAGTGCGATATGGCATCATTCGTGCTTTCCGCCCGAAGACTTTGTTGAGTGTTGGTTATGTTTATAGCAGATGATATATGTGGCACAGTGATTTCCCCACAACTTTTCGGTTTCTTTCGTTTTTCTCAATATATTGGTGGTTGCTTGAAGCACTTTGTCCAATGTGCTTGAACCTGTTAGCAGAGACCTGTAATTACAGAAATTGAGGGCTCTTGTGGCCAAGAGATAAGGTGTTCCCCTCTCATTCAAAAGGTCCCAGGGTTTGAACCCTGTCAGAGCCAAAAAAATGTTCTTACATTAAAAAAAAAAATTCCACCTGGACTCTCCTCTCTTTTACTCCTCTTTCTACTGCTGCTCCTGGCTCCTTCTTAATGCTGTCTTTCAGCCACGCCCCTCATCTTAGGATAAGTAAGGTGAAACGCCTAGCCTTCTCTGAAAAAGGCTAAAAATCTTGGAGGTCCGATGTGCAAGTTGTGCACGTCAAAGCTCTCTTGGTGGTCCTAAAATCGCTAACAGTAGGCTTTAACCACCACCTGGGCAAAATTCAAAATAAATTCCTACCAAAACTGAAAATACTCTAGTCAAAATAAAAACGTAAAGAGTATTATATTCGAAATCAGAATGTAGTTGTCTGAGGGAAAGGAGTCCACCAAAGTAGGAAAATACCTCACATACGTAAAAATTAGTACCACTGCACCACAAGTTGAAGAACCAACAGTCAACTACCCCTGAGATCTGGCTGGGTAATGCAAAGAAAAAGACTACAGAAATGAATCAGTCAGTGCAGCGAAAGTCGTAGTAAATTATTACATTTTTCATACATGATGTTGTAATGCTTGAATTGAAGACTGAAATGTTGAAAGCCAATATAAAATGCCGAGGGTTTGGAATCGGTATATTTTTATTCTAATTCAATTGTAATGCCCTTTCAGAAATCAGAACGATTGCCCTCAGAGTCAAATATGTTGTTAATCATTGTAAAATGAAATTTGGGCTTGATCTTTAATTTTTTTTTCTGGATATATTTCAAATTTTTTAAAAATAAATTTTAAAAATTTTATATTGAGAGTAGAAGATCAGTAGAGGGGAATTACTGCTTTCTTTGTTGCTTTTTCTGCTCTGGCCTCACAGGGCCGCTGCATCACTAATGTCCTTTTCTCCAGTCTTGTTCTGTTTCAAAAAATTGTTTTGCTTGACACAAAGACTACATATCTCCTTGCACTTGAAACTAACAGAAAGAACATTACTTGATCTATACATGTCTTTTTTTCTTCTCAACCTTTGTAACAGGTGACTGACAAGAAGACAATAACCAGACATAACTCATAGAACTGGACCAATGAGATTGAAAACAGACCTGCCACTGGACAGCCGTGACCTTACATAACATTCTTGAAAAATGTTTTCTTTTACCGAGACAGCCTGTATGGCGTGACATGAACGTTTTTAGGACTTCATTGCACTTTCTTTGCTTTCAAACTGTTTTTCATTCGGTGTAGTTTTTACTGTTTGTACCACATTTATGGCTTAATCTCATAGATGAAGACGGATGAATAATATTGGTCCTCTGCATTTTTTTGTTGGGGTGGAAGTGAAAATGCTAGTGATATTGAGACCTCAGAAATGATAAATAAATACTAATATAATCTAGCATGAAACAGAATCGCTCATTCTTGGAAATTATTGATTCCACTCAATAGTTGTTGCACCAATGGGTTTCTTTTATTTTTTGTATTTCTTACTTAAGAAATATTGTCTGGAAAACTTTTGTTCCCAGGGTGTCTGATATTTTCTGGCTACTAAGAAGAATTTATAGTAAAACAACAAAATGTCTTTATTGTAAAGTAAGACCTGGTTCTTTATTTAAAAGTTTGTATGGTCTCTTTGTCTTCAGGATCCTCTAGGAGTGTATCTAAATTCAAAATTGAAACTATCTCTGGTTTTATCTTTTCCTCAATAGAACAAATTTGTTTTGTATTCCTCAGTTAATTTGTGAGTACTTTCTCTATGGATCGATAGTGGAGCAAGAAATATGATTTTTATTAAAATGTCAAGAAAGGTACCATATTTAAATGATTCTCTGGTCCACTTTTCCAGTTCATCTTTGCTATGAGTCATTGCGATGTACAACTACTCTTTCCTCTCTCTTGTGTTTATTAGAATGATGACAATATTGGAAAAATTGGAGAGACATATAGGCTACTCCTTAATTGGTGTAAAGAGTGGAAGATGTCACATTTTCTAAAATAAAAACTCCTGACTTGAACGTATTTGTTTAACTGCCAATAGCAGTTTGAAATTGATGTGTTACAAGACTTGAATGAACCGTGACAATTCTCCACTACTTTCAGACATATGACGTTTTATGTACTACTTTTTTTCTTTTTTTTTTTTGTTTGTTTGTTTGTGTTTTAATAGTTTTCTTATATATGTGTTGTCTATGTCATCTTTGGAGATGTTAAGTGTTTTTATAATGTTGCGCTTCTTGTTTGGTTTTGCCGTCTGAACGCCAATAAAGTGTTGTATCAAGTTTGCTGACTTCTCTAATGTTAATGTGGTAACAAATTAAGATTTTCGCTCTTCTTTGTTCTTTATTCCTTTTTTGGGTGAGTTTACAAGTCACTGAAGACTGAAATTAATTTTTTGCTTAATTTCTTCAACCTCTATGATGGTTGCTTTAACAAGTGTTAAATCAAAGAGTGAAATCTGATTTTCACTGAAAGTACCTTGCTTCCAAAGTCTATTGACATTCATAATTAATTCAGTCAGCTCACATTTGATGTCCTTCGGTGATATCTATGTATTCATAGCTGACTGTTGATTCTCTTTTAACCTAGTTTCTGTGAATGTAATGTTTATGAGAATATTATCTTTTGGAGCTGCTTGGAGAAACAAGATAAAGATCTCGGGGGGGAAAAACGTCTTCTGGTTTTTACGTTGACTTTGTTTGGTGACTGGATGACACTTAAGCAAATGCTACTACTCAGTTTTGGGACCAAGTATTCCCTCTTCAAAGTGATTTGTCAAGGAGTTGACTGTCAACAAAAGTAGATCCAGCTGGCAAAGGAATAGTTGCCAGAAACATGACAATATTGTAGGGGCAGAGAGAAAGACGATTTAGTGCACCATAGCCTTTGAGAGCTGACTGCTATAAAGGTAAAGGGTGGAATAGTTGCATTACAATTGCAAGTGTTTACCGAAGGGTAAGAGACTTGTTTTGCTGGGGGGGGGGGGGGGTTAATGTTGAGGGGTTTCTTTACATTTTAGCAAAGTTTTTTTTTTAATGGCATTGTTAATGCAGTGCTCATCTCTGGTAATGTTACTTTGTATATGTATACGATGCTTGACAACAGTAGTAATTCCTGAAATGGCTGACACATGGACTGAACAAGCTTTGTGACAGAACGAAATTAGACAAGACTGTCACTGTTCTGACGACTGAGGTAAGCATGTCTTGTGCCCTCAGTTTGACTGTTTTGTAAGGAGACTGTTAAATTTATTGTTACCCTAACCCTGTGGCCTCTTTTTAAGTCCGTTAAGCTCCAAGTTTTAGAATATATTGAATGTTATAGGAGAAGGATGGGTTGTTGGATTTATGTTGTTTCTGTACCTTCTGTGTACGTGTATCTTTTTTAATGAAATATAGTGATCTTTTCGTGTTGTATCTTTTTTTTGCAGCCCTGGTTTATTAAATCATGTGTGCGAGTTGCCGCATTAGATTTGATTCTAATCTTAAATATGTTGAAACTTCTAGAGAATAAACCGGGTACTTTTTATTTTTATATATATATATAAATATTTGACAGATGGTACTTCACTTTGTCGCATTGAATGTTTACTCACAGTATGTCTTTCTTTTTTCTTTTTTTTCCTTTCAACTGTGACAGATGAATGAGAAGAGGTTCTCCAACAACAGATTGAACAAAGCACAGACTGTTGATGTGGAAACCTTGCATTTTCTACATGGTGAGTCTTGGGTGAGCTGGTTATTATTGGAAAATAAAGAAAGATTCGGTAGAAGTTTGTAAATACTTTGTAGATAACTTTACTTTTTAAAAAAGGCCTTGGAATGACTTGTGTTTTTAATTTTGCTAAAGTTGTGATAGCTTTTTAAAAAAAGCCACCAGGGAACAGCCTTTTCTATGTTTGTTTCAGTTGTGTAAAAAGACCCCAAAGAATAATACTGAGACTAAGATTTTTGTCAGGGGGAGGGGTTCCACTTATTTGATTGAAGAGCGTTGTTTTTATTTAATTTAGGTAACATTTTGTTGACTTGATAATCACTTATGAAGTATATTATTGTCATGAAGTGAAACTCAATAGTTATACTGAGCTATCACAAAGCAATATCATGAGATACAAAGTCATAGCAGTCATTTACTATGCTCTTGCTGTTCATGGTAAATTGTAGAGCATATTCCATGATATTCTTATGTACCTTTCTGTGTGTTGTTATGCCATAAAATAACAAGCAGAATAATATATTTATTCACTTACCATCTCGTTTTCCAGGTCAGCATGGACTCTGATGTTGCTGTGCCTGGAGCATACAAGGACATAACTCTGGAAAAAGGCTTTGTCTTTCACTGTCCCTTTGCTCAGTTGGTGAACGCTGACCTTTACTGGTATTTGTTTTTGTGAATTTTTTGGGATTATGTGAGTTTGAAATAGGTATGGGAAAGCGCATTTGCTTGAATTGAGTAATGGGCAATAAAGGAGGAAAATCGATTTTTGATAAAGGCCCAGTTCCATTTTTTAAAATGATTCTTGAATCATTAATTTTATTCACCCATATTTACAAGTATTTGGGGGGTATGCAAAAATGTATTTCACCTCAAAATAAGTACAGTGGAACTCGGGTTCAACGAGGTCGCTGGGCCTGAACTAAAATCTCGTTGAGTCTGAGTGTTCGTTATAGCAAACATTAAATTTTGTGTAGATAATTAGATTTCTACAGTTCTACAGACACTGAACAAGTAATGTATAAAGAGAAGTAACAAGTGGTGCCTGAAATGCCTTCATATTTTGAGCTGTGTAAATAAAAGACCATTTCGTTCAAATGCACGCCCGTGTCATCTCGATTGTTTGCCATAAAGTTGTGTTGCTGTGAAGAGCCTAGCAATCATACGACAACTTTTGATTCCATAGACCAGCGCACAATTCAGTACGTAGATCTACGTCAAGACTAGCTTATCATTGTAATAACGATCAGGTGCTGGGGGGGGGGGGGGGGGACTGTAGTGCATTTGTATCTCCGACGTTCCACGCCCAGTACGCTGTTGCCGCCTCGGCACAGTCTCACGTGTGCAGGCAGCCCATCCGACCCCGACACACGCTAGAGTAGACACGTGTGAGTGTCAACAACGCATGTGTTGGTGTGAAAAAAGGCGGCTGATTGGTTGCATGCAATTGCCTAAGTGGATAATGGTTCACGGTGCAGGTACAATGGGTGGTTTCCGGGAATAGATCATGTTCGTTGTTAGCGAAAAATGAACAAAGCCGCGTCTGCCGGGGCTGTTCACCTTGGAAGCGACCTCGTTGAATCCGGGCTTGCTGATTTAAGTGTTTGTTGATTTTAAAGAAGAACAAAACGGGGGATCCATCTCCATTCGCTGAATCCGAGCTCGTTTAATCAGAGTTCTACGGTAGTGATTTATGTTTGAGATTATGCCCTGTTTGTAAAGGAAAGTTTTCCTAACCCTATCCGTACGTCTTGTTTTACTATCGTATCCATACGACGTGGGGAACCCTGTGCCACCACTTTCCAAAGAGGAAATTTACTTGTTTATCCGATCCGTATGCTTTGCTGCGGGACTTTGCACAGCAGTCTGTCAAAATGATTTTTTGAGAAAACTGAAAGTTTCAAAGGGATCTTCGTACTAGAAGTATTCTAAAATGTGAAGAATACAACCCATGGGGTACAAAATGATAGGGTCAAATTATGATTGTCAAAAACTATTTGCAGACCGCCAAGTGCTCAGATAAAACTAATTTTATCCTGTCGAAGTAGCCAAACCCATTCAAAAGTGGGCTCTGGTGGCCTGGAGGTTAAGGTGTTCACCTCTCATTCAAAGGTCCGAAGTTCGAAGGTATCGACGGAAAAATTTTCTTCTCTATAATTGTCTCCTTTCACCTCCTTTCCAACGCTCTAGCAATGTTCTGTCGTCTGCCTTTGTCTTCACTTTTTGCCTTCACCCCGTCACCTCCTTTGCCTCCTTCTTTGGGCTCTTGACTCTTTCTGCAGCCTTTCTACCGCTACTCGCTGGCTCCTTCTCACTGCTGTCCTTCAGCCACACCCCCTGATCTTCTAGTAGGAAAGATCTACACCTAGCCTTCTCGGACAAGGGCGAAAAATCTCGGAGGTCCCATGTGCAAGTTGCGCTCTTTATAGGTCCCTTGGTCTAATATTGATCAGTAGGCTTCCACCGCCACCCGAGCAAAATTGGAAATTTCTTACCAACTGAAAATGTTTTAATGTGTGCGGCGCGTTCGTATGACCTTATATGCAGTTGCGAGCGCCATAAAACAATTACCAAAAAGAAACCCCCCCCCCAAAAAAAAACATTAGTTTGCTTAAATTTTACTTAAAATCTTATTTTTCTCTTGAATTCTGTTTCGGTCCGGTCGTAAATAACTTGTATGCACATTTTAATTTTGTTTTTATGTATGCAATATTTCTGGGACTTTTCTTAAATGACATTACAATAATTTACTAAAATGCACTTTCATTTGTACATGGTAGTAATAGTACTAGTTTGTTTCCCATAGTCAGTTTGTAACCCAATTTTTGTCTAGATGGGTTTTGGAGCCTCCTTTTTTTTGTCCCATAACTCCTAATTTTTAAAATATTTCAGAGGAAAATCCAATTTTTGGTCATGGAGTAGTTGGCAGGTCTGGGTTTGTATGAAGAGTGGTTTTTGTCTACGCTATTGTGTACTTTTATAATCTTCCTCAGAACTGATCTGCTCTATAGCACATGAGATCTGCTTCATCAAAACAGTATTTCTTGTTTTAACAAATCATAGAGGTCATAACTCACGCAAGCATCATAGACATTTTTCTTTTCTATCTCTTTTAGTATTTGTGCTTGTTTCAAATGAGACCCTCGCCTAATATCAGCCTTTTATTTTTCCATACAGGATTTTCACCAGCTGCCTCACCATTCTGTGTGATGTCTGTTCAACAGTAACAGAAACACAGAGTACCCACTGTCCAAGAGCACTGTGCAAAGCGATGGAATGTGCACAGACTTGACATTGTGTTTAACATATGAGGAGACGTTTTTTTAGTTTATTAAGGTTTTACGGCACTCGCAACTGCATAAGGTCATATTTGGCCAAGGGGTGGATGTCCACAAAGAAGTTCAAATGGAAAATCAGGCTTTCTCTGCTCACATCTCTAGCCTCAACAGCACAGTCTGCTTCAACTATCAAGGCCCCCAGAAATATCAGTTCACAAGGAGTGACAAACATACAAAAGAAGTAAAGGGAAAATGATGATAGTAAGGATTGAGGAAAGAAAAAGCAGCTG